CATTCCTGAAAGTGAAAGAGAAATAAATGTACTACTGTTTCCCCAGAAGTAGTATTTCAATAGTATTTTAAAACATGATCTGGAATTATAGTACTGCACTTGAATATATGTCTCAATAAGATGAGGGGAGGGACAGCGGGAGCAGGATCTTTGCAGTTCAGAAATAGCATGGAGAAAGATGAAACTTATTTCTAGAAAATGCAAATATATGCATGATGCATGTAAAGTTTTTAAATCCAATAGTTAAATCCATGGTTTTAAATCCATGGTTAAATATCCAGGGGCCAGGGCATTATTTTTGCTTGCACTGTATACCAAGAGAAAAATCACTTAAAATATTGCTCTTAAACAGAATAGCAAGGGATCGTTTTGTGTAGGATCTGTACTAGTGGCTACTCCTTGCATACAGTGACTGTGAAATAATTATTACTAATCACCTCCATTCCACCTCAGAGCCCTGGTCATGGAACTGGACCCTATTGTTTTAGGTGCTGTACAAAAATGAAACAAAGAAAGATTACAAGCCCTGAGGCAGGAAATAAGTGATATCCTTTTGCCCCTCCCATAGGAGAAACAGAATGCAAAAACAGCTTTCCTGTCCAGCAGCCAAGTATCTTGCTATTTCTCTGCAGATCTCCACCCCCTCTTTATTGCAAATGTCAGACTTTACATTTATACCCTTTTAACAGCTTATCAATACCTGCCATCCTTCATTCTTCATCAAGATGACTGCTCCTGCCCTTGAACAGCCCACGATACTAAACACCAGTGTGCCTTGTTAGATTTTCAAGAATGAATGTTGTTTTCCTCTTTGGCTCCTCCACTCACTTGGGAGGTGCACTCTGTGTCATCACCCACAAATCTAACTCTTTATCAGGCTTAAAATTGCTCCTCTTAAAGCTCTCTTTTGCTACAAAGAAAACCTGGACAACAGCAAAGCTGCTGGTGATCTAAGACCACTGCCTGTTATATTGATCAACAGCGATTCTTTGTTTACTGGTGATCCTCCATCTGTCTATAACCAGGTGTTGTTCCCTGATGAGCATAAACTTTCCGGGGCAGGGACCATCTTCTTGTACAATGCCTGATACAATATGGTTCTGGTGCATGGTGATGGTAATACAAACAGCAACAATGATAAAAATAAAGTGTAAAATAGTCTCTGGCCTGAAGAACTTTAAGTTTTCATGCCTTGATCTTGCCCTTGCTTGCACATTAGACTTATGCTAGTGTGTAGTCCTCACAGAAGTCAATAAACTATTCATATGAATTAAGGTAAGCATGTTCAAACACTTGCAACAATCAAGGCCTAAATCAGGTAATGGAAGATAGCAGAGGAGGGAATACAATTAAATAAGTATAAGTGGATGAAGTACTGATTTCCCCCATTTGTAGTCATCATCAGTATCCCCACAGTGTCTCTAGATGAGGCAGGTTTTGAAGAAGGAAGAGGAAAAGTTTTGGGTTAAAAGACGAATTCAAAGCAGACATTCTATATGAAAGGGGAAATGTGAAAAAAGGACATAGCAAGTAAAGCTGGCAAATAAGTAAAAGAGTGTGGCAATGTTCACAAAAAGGAGAGGAAGCAATAGGATGTGACAAGATTGCACAAGGAGGGAGAGGCAGATACAGCCAGCAATTTTTGGAAAACAGCTAATCTTAATGCTCTGTGGAATCACTGTAAGTTCTATATTAAAATTACATTTAGACACCGACGCATTTTTCTCCTCTTAACAGTGGCAGCTTCTATCAGTACATTTTCCACAGTATCCATGTAAATAGGAAAGGAGTCTGTAACTGACAGGGGCTCAATTCAGTAACAGCTCACTTTACCAACAAAACCTTTAAACAGAGTCAAACATAAGGACAAATCAGTCTTTGCTCGAGATACTTTTAATGCTGCATGATGGTATGAAAGTGTTCTGAGAATTGTTGTTTTCTGGGGGCATTTAAGCTGTTTCATTCTGCACAGTCATGCACTTTCATAAATAATATTTCAGTCTGATAACCGGCAAATGTGACCCAAAAAAGCTTAGGAACAATAGCTTTCTATTTTAATTTTAATGAGAACCCATTACAGTAAGACTCAATTTGGCTAAAATTATTCTTTTAATGGATTGCCTTCTACTGAAAGTTGGAAGTAACACATCTAATTAGCAATCCTTTCAAATTTTCGTCTTACAGAAATCAGATTTCCAATTCCAGATGAAAAATCAGAAGCCCTAAGCAGAGGATAGAAAAACCATTAGCATTAATTTTTTTCACAGTACTATATCCATGGTTTCTTCCAGACTTATGAAAATGACCAATTAATTTAGACTTATAGTTTACTCCAAAACTAGTAGGTGCAGAGTCCAAAACCTCACTCATCTTTGATCCAAAGCACTCATCTGAGAAATAAAAGTGACAGGTCCCTGTCATCAGAATTTTACCCTGGAATGGTCTGCTTTTACCCATCTCCTGTTACTAAGCACAGCATCATTGAAGCAGTCATGCTCGCTATTAAGTACAAAGTACATTAGTAAGACTCTGTAGGAACCAGGGTCAGTTAATTTTAATAAACAACAGGAACATATCAGTACTAACGGAACAGAGCCATGAAAAGAAAAATCAGAAAATGAAAAGCTAAGGTGAATCTCTCTACTCTGGTTCTGACAGTCAAAGCTTTTAGAACATAGAATTGTCTCTCCAGCGAAGCAGTGATGACCTGGGGCATAAAACCTAAACTGAACAAACCAGAAGGAAATATGCTGGAGGAAATAAACACTTCCCTGTCTTTTGGGGGGATGGAGAACATGACCCTCATTAATCTTTCCTACCTCTAGCTTCATCGTTTAAACTCTATTAAAATGCTACTTCTCAGTTATTCTTCTTAGCTGGCATTATAGAAATACATTGCCCAGAACATTGTCTATCACTCATCTCCCAATACAGTTAATTCTCAGAAATACTCACAGTCTCCTTGTTCAGCTGCCCAAGCTGACCAGGCTGCCACTCGACTTCTAACATCCACCTGAGTAACAGTACCTGGGGGAACAGGAGCAGGAGCTCTTGGGGGCGGAGGAATAGCACTGTCAGCTTTGGAAATCATCCTAGGGAAAATAGGAGAGAAAAAAAGAAATGAAGCTTGAAGCAAAAATTCTCTCCTTTCTAAAGCATTATTATTGGAAAAGACAAGTGAACTGTACAGTAAAGACTTGTATGCATCACACACTGCTCTTTGTGAGCCATAATGAGCCAGCAGTACATATAAAAAAATTAGGTGAATGTATTCGGGAGAGGACTTGTTGTGAAGCCTCTGTAGGAGCACTAGGCACTGTTAAACTCATAGCAGATATGTTTCGTGCACAAATAAACCAAAAAACAAACCCTGTTCTTTTGTCATACATAGAGAACTTAACAGGGATGATAATGCTTCTATAACAGGGTGTCAAACATACTGTCCATAGAGCCCTATGATCAGAACTGGGCACCTCAGACCAACCCAGCCCAATGCATGCACTATGCAGAGCAGGTCTGGCTGTGGGTTGAACTGGCACTGTGGATGCCACATGCAGCACAGGGGTTTGCTCCAGGGTACACGTTGCATATAGTGCCTGTGCCAGACTGTCCCCGAGTGCTGACTCTAGGTCCAGCCCAGATTGGGCAGCACTGGAGCCAGTGTGCAGGGCTGGCCCAGCAGAGCATACAGTGCATGTGGCCGTTTCAAACCCGCATGCTGGCCCTAGCCCAGGGCTCGCTCTGCATGCAGTGCCTCACCAATCCAGCCCTGCATACTGGCTTCAGTGCATGTCCCAATCCAAACCAGACTAGCTCAGTTACCTTCATTCCACCAGTGGGGCCAGATGAGTCTGACACCCCTGTTCTATAGGGCTATTAAACCAGCCTAGAGAATAGTCTAGGAGTGAAGCTTGGTAGCTTGACATTTTGGTGTTCATGCCTAATAGAAAATGTAGACTTCGATCTAGACTTCACTTTGTCTAGTACTCTTGACTGGAGAGTGATCTTAAGCATCACGAATTGACTGATAAGTGTCTTAATTCATACAGGTTGTTGACCATTTTTTAAACCTCAAGTGATAAAAAGAATGACTGAATTTAGAGACAGAGACCCAAAACATTTCTAACATTTAGTTGAATCCATCTTGTAAATTCATGTCTGTTTTCTCAGTACAGTTTTAAATACTAAAAGCAAAGGGTCTTTCATAATTTTTCCTGGAAGACTGCCATCAAATATATATACAAAAAAACAAAACATAGACTTTTGGCAGTCAAATCATCAGCTTAAAATTTTTCCCTTTTGAATTTCATTTCATTTACACCACTCAAATATTCATATACATATTTTATTTTGTTTCTCTATAGCCGATAAATTAAGCACTGCTTCTTTTCCCTAGAAGTTACTTCCCCAATCACCTGCCAATTCTTTTTTGTTATTCACTATATTTCCTCCAATTTGTCAATACATTTTTATAAACATGATAACAAGGCTGAATGAAAATAACTCAAGAATAATCAAAATCTGAACCACCTACAGAGAGAACTCTCTCATTTTTCTCTGGCCTCCTCCATAAGTTATATCTAGTATTAATTACCTTGTTAACTGCACAATAAATTTAGACTGGCTACAAATGTAAATTCACTATCCCACATATTAACTATTAATTCCATCCATGAAGAGCACACACCAACTGCAGACTTCCTCAGCCCAACGAAGGGTTTTTAAACCCGAAAGTTTGCTAAAAATTTTTCCCCAACTATTTAAGTTGGTCTAATAAAAGATATCAGATTTGCCCAAAGACCCTTGTCTAAAATTAACTATGGCACCTTAAAAAGGTCCAACCAGCTCTAAAGTTATTGCTTGAAAATGTGTAATAACAACTTTACAGCTGGTTTCTATCCATCTTTAATTTGAACATATAGGCAGTCTGGCTCGGAGACCATAGCTGCTGCAGTCTCCCAGTTGTGGGGTGCTCCATGCAATGGCTCGGAGATCGCAGCTACAACCTCCTGGCCATTACAATTTCCTAGCCACAGGATGTTCCATGTCCTGCAGGGGCTATTAGATTGCAGCAGCAACCCACAGCTGCCAGAGCTGAGAATCCCACAGCTGACAGGACTCTTGGTCCTGGGAGCACCCCACGTGCAGCCAGAGTTGAGAGCTCCTGCAGCTCTGGGACTCAGCCCCGGCTGTGCACAGTCCTTGCAGCTGACAGTCACATCAGTAGAAGAGGCTCCCAACTGCAGGAGCCGGCTTCTTGCTGGTACAGGGGGAGCCCAGGATCAGGCTCCCCCTGCACTGGAAATAAGGCAGAATGATCTCTAATGCATGATCCCACAACCACACCTCCTACCATGCACATATGGCATGACAGGAGGCACCACTGTATGGATCATGCATTAGATCCCATGGCATCTTTACCTGTAAGTGTAGAGGGGGCCTCTGTATCCTACTGATGCAACGTGCTGCATAGGAAAACTGTGAAAGCTTGGGCACAGCCTCTTGCATAAAAATACAGGACAGTGGCTGGGGCAAGACTGAGTTGTAACAAGACTTCCACAAGAAAAATAAATACAGCTAATGGCTTGCAACCCATTAGACATTGAGACAGTGGAGTACTTACGGTACCTAATACCAGACCCATGCCATAAAATAATAGAAGTGGTTAAAATTGTTGGCAGAGTCCTGATGTGTCACATATGTGTACCTAAAAAAGCCCTTTAAAGAAAGGCTGAGCCAGGAAGTCAAGGAAACTGCATATGCATTTCAAGTGACGTGTCAGCTAAAGAAAACAAGGGACTAAATATGCATCTAAAAAAAAAACAACACCTGTAAAAGGTGCATTGAATATAGGGAGGATGTTCTGCATGTGACATAGCTCACATTTTTCAAAACAGACACCCAATGTCACTCTAAGATGTTCATAGAATCATAGAAGTAGGGTTGGAAGGGACCTTGCAGATCTTCAAGTCCAACCCCCTGCCTGGGCAGGAGGAAAACTGGGATCAAATGACCCCACTCAGGTAAGCATCAAGCCTCTTCTTAAAGACCGGGTAGGAGCCAGCACCACTTCCCTTGGAAGTTGGTTCCAGATCCTAGCCGCCCTAACTGTGAAGTAGTTCTTACGGATGTCTAATCGAAACCTACTCTCCAACAACTTGTGGCCGTGATTCCTTGTTATCCCGGGGGGGCGCTAGGGGAAACAAGGTCTCCCCCAAACCCTTCTGGTCCCCCCTAGTGAGTTTATAGATGGTCACCAGGTCCCCCCTCAGCCTTCTCTTGTGAAGGCTGAACAGGTTCAGGTCCCGTAGTCTCTCATTGTAGGGTCTGCCCTGCTGTCCCCGGATCATGCGGGTGGCCCTCCTCTAGACCCTCTCAATGTTGTCCACATCCCTCTTGAAGTGGGGTGCCCAGAACTGGACACAGTACTCCAGCTGTGGCCTGACCAGTATCGCGTAGAGGGGGAGGATCACCTCCTTGGCCCTACTTGAGATGTACCTGTGGATGCACGATAAGGTCTGGTTAGCCCTGCCGACCGTGACTTCGCTTTGTCGGCCCATGTTCATCTTGGAGTCAATGACGACTCCAAGATCCCTTTCTGCCTCCGTGCTCTCAAGAAGGGAGTTTCCCATCTTATAAGTGTGCTGCCAGTTACTACTGCCCAAGTGCAGCACCCTGCACTTGTTAAAAATGTCTGAACCATTCAGTGTATGTCTAAAGTTATGAGCTACTGCAAATGTACCCCATTGATAAACAATTACCCCAAAACAAGTTTGGTGACACCCCTGAGTATCCTGTCTGACACTCAAGGCCCATCATCTGTGATTGACCTATAATTACAGAGGCTGCAGAAACAGTCTTTACACCTAGACAATCAAAAACAAGAGCCAGGCAATAACAGTTATGATATGATGATCAACCTTTTCCTCCCTTCTTTGTTCAGACTTTAATTGGCTAACCATCAAGAAAAATGCTTTGAAGAAACAGTATAAAAACTAAGCAGATTTCTCAGCAGATTGTGTGCAGTCCAGACCAGAAGCCATCCTGCCACCCATTGAACAACTCAAGGACCCACGTTTTTAGGCTGTACAAGAACTGCTTCCTGCTTGCATTGGGTAAATATCTCAGTGCAGCTAAGATAATAATAAGGACTAATAGCTTATTTTA